GAGGAGGAGGAGGAGGAGGAGGAGGAGGAGGAGGAGGAGGAGGAGGAGGAGGAGGAGGAGGAGGATAAGGACGAGGAAGAGGAGCAGGAGGCTGGTCCAGCGCCGCCCGAGGGCCCCCCCCCTGCCCTTGGCATCGCTCGGACGTGTGCTCCTTTTTGTTCTCGGCGAGGAGCATCGAGGAGCATCTTGGATCATCTTGCGAACAAAAATAAAGCGCACGCAGCCGAACAATTGCACGGGGGATGGACGTCCGAGCGATGCCGAGTGCCGTCGTCAGGGCGATCTGGCAGCCCAGGCCCCCCTCGCGCTGTGACAAAAATCACGGCAGGAGGTCCTTCGCCCTTTTTGGCCCTCCGGGGCCCTCGCTGGGCCTCGGGGCCATCAAAGAAACGGCTCGGGGTGAAGGACCGGTCCCGGGGGAGGGGGCGAGGCCTCGGGGGGTCGACGCTGTGAAAACGTCGCGCCGTCGGGGGCCCCGGGCCCGGGGCGCTCCAGAGCACTCCTCCCGCAGCGCCCCGGAGCGCGCCCTCCCGGAGCGGCGCCGCGGGCCCGCCAGCTCTCCCAGCGCTCCCCGAGCCGCCTCGCCCTGGCCCCGGGGCCCGGCCGCTGGCCTCGGGCCCGGCCTCGGCCTCTCGGGCCTCGGCGCCGCCTCTCTGCGTCCTGTGGCCTCGCCGCTGGCCTCGCCGCTGGCCTCGCCGCTGGCCTCCGCCGCTGGCCTCGGGCCTCGGGCCTCGGGCCTCGGCCTCGGGCCTCGGCCTCGGGCCTCGAGCCTCGGGCCCCTCGGGCCCGAGCGCCTCGGCGCGCCGCGGCCTCGGGCCTGGCCCCTCTGGGGGGGCCGCCCGCCCTCCGCCGGGCGCGCCGCCCGCCCCTCCGCCGCCGCCGTGCGCGATCCGCCCGCGACAGGCGGAGGCCTGGCGCGCCGCGCTGCAGGTGGGCAGCGAGCTGCTGGTCCGCGCCGACGGCTCCGAGGGCGGCGAGTGGATCGCCGGCGTCGTCACGGCCACCAGCGCGTCCGACGTCAAGGCCCCGCGGGGCCGGCTCACGAGCACACACGCCCTCCTCCTCCTCCTCCTCCTGCTCCTCCTGCTCCTCCTGCTCCTCCTCCTGCTCCTCCTCCTCCTCCTCCTCTTCTTCTTCCCCTCCTCCTCCTCCTCCGCCTCCTCCTCCTCCTCCTCCTCCTTCTCTTCTTCTTCCCCTCCCCATCCACCCCCTCCCCCCTTCCGTGAAGGAATTCGATGGGGATAGGAAAGGCTCGACGACGACGACGACGACGGCGACGACGGCGACGACGACGACGACGACGACGGCGGCGGCGACGACGACGACGACGAGGACAGTCTGCCAGCCCCTCGTCGCCACGGCTGGACTCGCCTCGAGGTGTTGGCCAGAGCGCGCCCTGGGACAGGTAATGCGGGGAGCGGCAGCCGCTGCATCTGTTTGCTTGCCCTGGCGGCCGGAGTCCCTTTTCGACCCGATCGTTCCGATCCGATGTCGATTCCGGCAGGCCCGCGCCAGAGGCGCCCACCGGGGGCCCAGCGCGGATCCAAGGAACCCAGCGCGGATTATGTTTACGGCGTTGTTTCTTCTATTCGGACTCCATGCCGATGCGGATAGACCCGATGCCCGTGCTGATCCGAGCAGATTTTTCCGATGCGATGCCGGCGGATCCTGCCCCCGCGGGCCGAGGGTGTTCGGGCGGGCGGCCGCTAGGGGCTCGAGGAGGAGGGAGGGAGGGAGGGAGGGAGGGAGGGAGGGAGGAAGGGAAGGAGGAGGAGGAGGAGGAGGAGGAGGAAACATGATAATAAGAAGGAAAATACTATTAATGCTAAAAATAATGCAAGTACGAATAATAAGACGAATGATACTAACAATAAGAACAATAATCATTATACTACTAATACTAATAATAATGATACTAATGCTACTACTACTACTACTACTACTAATAATAATAATGATAATGATAATAATAATACTAATGCTACTAATACTAATAATACTAATCGTAATAATATTACTATTACTACTAATCATAATAATAACAAGAGTACTAAGAACACGAATACAACGAGCAATACTACTACTACTACTACTACTACTACTACTACTACTACTACTACTACTACTACTACTACTAACTACTACTACTACGCCTACTACTACTACGACGCCTACTACTACTATACTACTACTATACTACTACTACTACCACTACTACTTCTTACTTACTACTCCTACTACTACCTATTTACTTACTACTACTACTACTACTACTACTACCTACTACTACTACTACTACTACTACTACTACTACTACTACTACTACTACTACTACTACTACTACTACTACTACTACTACTACTACTACTACTACTACTACTATACTACTACTACTACTACTACTATACTACTACTACTACTACTACTACTACACTACTACTACTACTATACTACTACTACTACTTACTAACTACTAATATAATACTACTACTACTACTGCTACTACTACTACTCCTAACACTGTGAAGAAGACTACGTATAATAATAATAAGAACATGCATCACAATAATACTAATAATAATACCACTAATACGAATAATAATGCGAACAGCAACAAGAAGAAGAGGAGGAGGATGAGGGAGAGTGGAGGGAGGAGGGATGAGGGAGAGGGAGGGAGGAGGGAGGGAGGGAGCAGGGAGGAGGGAGGAGGGAGGAGGGAGGAGGGAGGAGGAAGGAGAGAGGAAGGGAGGAGGGAGGAGGGGGGGAGGGAGGGAGGGAGGAGAGGGAGGGAGGGAAGAGGAAGAGGGAGGAGGAGGAGGGAGCAGAGGAGGGAGGAGGAGGAGGGAGGAGGGAGGAGGGAGGTGGCGGAGGGAGGAGGAGGAGGGGAGGGAGGGAGGAGGGAGGAGAGGAGGAGGGAGGAGGGAGGAGGGAGGAGGGAGGAGGGAGGAAGGAGGAGGAGAGGGAGGAGGGAGGAGGGAGGGGGGATGGGGGGAGGGGGGAGGAGGAGGAGGGAGGAGGGAGGAGGGAGGACGGGAGGAGGGAGGGAGGAGGGAGGGAGGAGGGAGGGAGGGAAGAGGGAGGAGGGAGGAGGGAGGAGGGAGGAGGGAGGAGGGAGGAGGGAGGAGGGAGGAGGGAGGAGGGAGGGAGGAGCAGGAGGAGGAGCAGGAGGAGGAGGAGGAGGAGGAGGAGGAGGAGGAGGAGGAGGAGGAAAAACTACTGAGCCTCTAACGTACTGCATCGAACACTTCAATTACGCTCCGTCTCAAACTGCAGCCCGCGCTGCCGATCTCAGTCGTCAATGCACAGTGTCTGCTCCTTTTCGCTGAGTAAGCCTTCAACAGGATCGGAGTGCTTTACATCCAACAATTACGCTCCTAAACCGCCAGAACCTCAGTCACTGCCCGCGCACCACCATAGCTGTTCCAGCTTAACTCGAGGTGGCGGTTGTGGTACAGGTATTGTTGGTTCTGTTCCCTGGGAAAGGAGTGCTCAGCGTGTTTCCTGGCCCTCCAAAACAGGGTGTGGCCACACACGTCCAATTGCTCAGCCCGCAATCACAGACACTTGTGCGATGAGTTACCTCTTCTCGCATTCAGTTCTTTTTGCATGCATTTGTTCTGCCCATCTTACTCTCACTGTCTCCGCACTGCCTTAGCCATTCCAGCTTAGCTCTGCTTCCTGTTACTGGCCTGGCAGCGCTGGCCCATAGGAATCGCATGAGGATTGGGGGTGGAGGCTGTAACTCTCAGTGGCAATTGCGGGACCAGTTATCTCTCTTGCTCTGTTGCGCTCAGTCTCAGCACTCTACGTTTCGGCACCGCTGGCTCAATATTTTAAGCTCCTACTCAGACACATCGCAGGCCAGCTTACACGGCCAGCCTTTACGGCGCTAGCCTTCTGTCTTCACGGCTAGCAGCGCCAGCTAGCACGTACTGCCTCTGCCATCCTCAGCCGCACCTGCTGGTACGAAGGACTCGTGCCAAACCCGGAAACAGTTAACAAAAACACGAGGGTCCTGGGACCATGGATGTTCGGGGTGAATCGAAAAACCTTGGGCGACAACCCAAGAACTGCCACCGCTTGCACTTGCTCTCACTTCTAGCCAAGCCTCGCCTCTTACGCCACTGACTTGCTTATGCTCCGTCTCTGCGCTCTACACTTCGGCTCCACTGGCTCCAATCTTTAAGCTTCGCAAGACTTTAGCACTATCGGACGACTTACACAACAGTTGCTAGCGCGGTTCTATGCCGCCAGGATTTCTTCCGCTGCATCCACGCACCGCCACAGCTAATCCAGCTTTGCTCTGCTTCCTGTTCCTGGCCTGGCAGCGCCGGCCCAACAGGATAGACATGGGGATTTGGGGAGGTAGTTGTATCACGGGAGGGGGTATTGGCTGGTTCGGTTGCATCATGAGAAAAAAGTTGCATATTTTCAATTGCGCACATCGCCGTGACATAGACATTTACGAGACCAGCTGCCTCTCCTCATTTTGTCTTCATGTTCTCCCAAGTTGAAGCTCCTACTCAGACAAATCGCAGGCCAGCCTACACAGAGCAGCCTTTTCACGCATTGCTGTACGGTTAGCAGCACCAGTCAGCCCGTACTGCTCTGTGCCATCCTCAGCCGCAGATTTGCTGCGTGCCTGAACCTATACATTGGGGATCTGGGGCTGGGCATATGAAATGGGGTTGGGATACCTAGGTAACACCAGACACTGCAGCATTTGTCCTGGCCTCCCACCGCTCGAGAGTCGCCTGTTTTTTTCCCCATGCACGCGTATTTCGTCCCTCTCCGTTCGCTTCGTCTTCGTTACTGTTGTTACTGAGGTTATCGTTCGCTCTGTCTCTCCTCCCCGCACTCAGCCTGGCTGGCGTATACTCTGCGCCCCCCGGGGCCCTCGTCTTTTCTTGTTATGGTACCCGCTGCGCCAGCCGCGCGTAATTTGCTCTGACCGCAGCGTGAAGTCGTTTTTTGTTGCATCCATGCAGGCTTCTGGCTGCCGCCTCTATTTGGTCAACCGTCAGAAAGGACGAGGAGGTGGGGACGGCGGTGGAGGAGGAGGAGGGAGGAGGAGGAGGAGGCGGAGGAGGCGGATGAGGAGGAAAAGGAAGGGGAGGAGGAGGAGGAGGAGGAGGACGAGGAGGAGGAGGAGCGGATGGATAGATGATGCAGATGCTGAGGAGGATGAGGAAAAGTGAGGGCACAATGGGGAATCTGAAGGATATTGATATAGAGGAGGGATGATGCAGTAGGAGGAGGCATTGTCGGCACCAGGGCACGCAGAGAGGCGCTTCCTCCCTTCTCTTCCTCCTCCTCATCCCTCTTTCTCCTCGTCCTACTCGTCGTTGTCCTCATCCTCTCCCTTTTTCCCGTCCTCCTCCTCCTTTTCCTCCTTATCCTCCTTTTCCTTATGCTCTTTGGTTCGTGCCTCCCTCGGACATGCTTTTGTGTTGTGTGCGTGTGTGCAGTACACAGTTATATGTACTTATATCTAATGGCCTTCGGCCCATCCCGCCGCCGTGCTCTGGTTGTGGGTTGTACGTTTTTTTTGTGATGTTCGTTGGGATGCCGTGGGGCTACAGGTTGATTCGGCGATCGAGAGTCTCAGCCCATTTGCAGAGCGCGCTCCGCTAATGGAAGCAAAGCAGCGAGCATTCTTCGGTTTGGGGCCAGTTTGCCGAGCGTCGCTCCTAATAGGAGAAGGCAATGCTACCCCCCTGGTGCGAGGCCACTTCGTAGAGCGGCGTTCCAGTAACTGGGGCCAAGCAACCTCCAAACTCATGGTTTAAGACCAATTTAGCGGAGCGGCGCCCTGCTCACTGGGGCCAGCCAGTGTTTGAGAGCAAGGGATTTGGGCCTTTGAAGAGTTGCCATGGTTGAAAAATGGAGGCTCGGAGGATTGAGCAAATGATCCAGGGACACCCCACTTCGTGCCACAGGGGCACGGTGGCGGATATATATATATATATATATATATATGTGTGTATGGTCAGCCAAGCGTGAATGCCTCCAGTCACTACGCC